ACCAAAAGGGCAGAGGCACAGCTCACCTGGGACCCAGCCGTAAGGAAACCAACTGCCATTTCTTGGTCTCTGGTGTTCACTGGGGGGAAGCCAGGACCAGCCTGAAGAATCGGCAGACCTGAGCAGGGGGAAAAAAGCATGAGCAGAATCAGTGCTATCTTACAGTTAGCTTATTCAAAGGTGTCCAATGTCTGACACAGAAACCCAGGAACCAAAAGAAAACTCCAGACAGACAGGCATTTGTGTGTATCCTACCCTGTTCTCAGCTGGGAATATGGTCTCAACCCAATACACCTGTCTCTTCAGAGCTATGAATGATCCCTACTCTGGAAATAATTCCCTTTGAGATTCAGTAACAGAATAAAGGAACACATTACTTTTAGGGATATGGTTGATCTGCCTACTTAAAAATACCTCTACATGTCAGCTAAATATTTCCTGATGGTTTCAAGAAGTAATGTGAGGGAAAGGAGACAAATGACAAGAGAACATGATCTCAGATATACCCTGAAAAAATTAAAGAGTCAAGGTATAGAAAACAATTTCACTTCATTGGTTTCCTATTAAAGTCAAGGAGGCAGCCAGAAAAACTCAGAATTATGACACAGAACCCCTCCAAAAACCAGAATTATCTCTGGAGGGTGGGCCCCTTGAAATGCAGGCTACCCCAGCTACGTGTGAGTGTTCTAGGAACCCATCTCTATCAGAGTACCAGCTGGCATTGTTGTGAGAAGCTGCATTCGGCTTCAGTGAACTTTTTTGAAGATTTTCAATGTTTCAATGTGTTTGTCCATTTCATGATGGGTGATTTATGAGCTCACCTGCCCACACCACTGTGTATTCAATAGTTTTTGAGCAAAAGTGGTATGACCCCCATGACCCACCCTCCCTATTCACTCGACCTTGCCCCAAGCAACTTCGTTTCCCTGGATGAAAAAAGTTGTTAAACGTAACATTTTGCTGATGTGAAAGAGGTGAAACAAAAAATGGCAGAAGCACTAAAAGGCAACAAAATCGACAAGTTCAAAAACTGTTCTGAGCCATGGAAAAAAGGCTTAATAGGTGTATTGCATCAAGTGAAGAGTACTGTGAAGGTGACTAAAGTTTAAACATGTAAGAATAAATAACTTTTTATAAATAAATTCTGGGGATTCCCCCTCCTTCTAACCGCCCCCACCCCCACCTCACACACACACACCTTGCAGGTAACTTAGTTTATCAACTGTTACGTTTGTAAGGGAAAGAGGGAGGGAGAGGACACAAAGCACCATTTCCTGTGACCTTACTTCCTGTTTGCATCTTACCCTGCTCCTGGAAGGCCTGTGTCCCAGCACCAGGGTCCTGATTGAGGTGCTCATCAGTGCCTTGTTCTAGGCCTTGAACTCCTTCCCCACGGGGCATCCCCCACTCAGGCTTGACTTCCACTGGCCCCAGGTGGACACCAGGTTCCCAAGTGCTTCCGCAAAGTGCTGTCTCCTCCTGCTCTCCCTGCACGTGGCATGGAACCTAAGAATAGGCCCAAAAACCTATTTCAAATGAGGCCTGGTTATGAAGGGAGTGAACTAAAACCTAAAAAGAGAGCCAAGAAGAACCATTCCAGCTGCAGGGGAGAGGAAGGACGAGCTGGCTCAGCTCTTCACCAGGACATCAGTAAGAAGGTGAAGAGGAAGCTAAACTACCCTGCTCAGGCTCTGAGCAATGTTTATGTGTCCATACCATTTTACAAGGATCCCTCCTGTCTGCCTCAAATACAGATCAAAGTCCACCATGAATAACACCACAAACAGCCTAAATATGGTCTCACTACTAGAAAAAAAACCTCCCCAGTTACAGATGCTGAAAATAAAAACTACAAAGCCTAAACTCTGCCATAAATTAGCTGGTGAGAAAAAGTTGCTCTCTTCCTTCCCAGCCAACGATCATGTGACTGTATCAGAGAGGCACAGAGAATGGCCAGAGTCCCAAGGAAGCACCAGTGGTGCAGTTACTTGGCATCACCAGCATGCCGCCACAGAAGCACTATGTGGGCCATGTGAGCCGAGGTCCCAGATGTGGAAACAGCACCATTACAGACAACTCTTCTTAGTGAAAATATTCACAAAATGGACTCCCTGCACTCCCACATGCAGTTCTGTCCAAAAAGGTATGGGTCTAGGAGGAACCCTGGAATCTATCGCATCTGCCTTCTTTGAGCCTGAGACTCACATATGGGCAGGCTTCTACCCTGATGACCAAAAAAGAAGCCCTGAGAATGGCTTTTCTTGCTGAAAACTCCACTGCTCTCCAAAAAGTACCTCTGGGAGTACAGACGCAGAGATTCTGCATCTAACCAACCTCATGGTTCCTCAAACCTTTCAATTCTTTAAATCTTCCCCCACCACATCAACAAAACAAGACCTGAGACCCCCTTCTCACCCACCGCCTTGGCCTCCAGTGCTCTCTCTGTGAAGTCCTCCACCATGGCCACCAGGGCCTTGCCACTCTCTGGGCCATGCTCCCGAATCCAGGTGTAGAACTCCCGGGGCAGGATGGTCAGGAACTGCTCCAGCACCAGCAGTTCCAGGATCTGCTCCTTGGTGTGCAATTCAGGCCGTAGCCACTGGCGACAGAGCTCCTGGAGTTCCCTGAGGGCTTCCTGGGGACCAGCTGCCTCCTGGTAGCGGAACTGCCGAAACCTCAGCCGGAAAGTCTCAGGACTAGGGTCCTCCCTTCCCCTGCCCCATGGCAACTCCTTCTCCAATTTAACCACAGGAACACCCATCTGCTGCTGCTGCTGCTGCTGAGGATCTTCTGCCATCACTGGACGCTCTTTAAGCATCTTCACAGTCCCACCCAGAAGACTGAGGGTCTGTTGGGAAGACCAGACAGACAATGACCATAAGTGAGACACAGATCAGTCCATCCCAGTTGTCTCTACATCAATGAATATTCTGCTGGAGAACATATGAATTACCTTCTATGAGACATTTTCAAAAAACTAAACACACTTCCTGAAACTCATGTCAGTTCAATTCAGTATTTGCTAACCACTTAGTATGATCTGAGAGTAAATTTAAAATGTATAAAGTTTAGCTTATACCCACAAATACCTCAGGATCCCATTAAGGAGATAAAACTACAATCAAAGGGTATAAGATGGGTAATAATTAGTTCAGTCACCTGGGCCTACTCTTCCAAAACTAAAGGAAATAAACATTCAATACATACATATGCCAGACCCACAGAAAGTAGAAATATAGTAGAGAATAAGACAAACCAGGTGCTTATCCCCTGAAACTCATGTATTAATGCAGCAGAGAGAAAAGAACAAATGTAAGCAAATAAATTAAAATGATAAATGAAGGTAAGTTCTAGAAAGGAAATAAGTAGAGTTCTCTGCTAATGGGGGACAAATAACTTCAAGAACACTTTTCTGAAGAGATGACGCTTAGGCTGATACCTGAAGAATGAGAATGAGCCAGTCCCTCAAAGAGCATTCCAGGCAAAAGCTTTGAGGCTGGAAATGACTCTGCATGTTGAGTAACAAGCCAAAGTGCAGTGTGGCTTCAGCAGAGTGCACTAGGGGCAGAGCTATACAAGAAGCAGTAGCAGAAGCAGGAAGACACCGAATTATGCAGGGCCTGGGCCATAGTAAGAATTATGGGCTTTACTCTTATTTCTTGTTTTAGTAGAGAACTACATATTTTACAAAGGCCGCTTTACCTGCAGTGTGACAAGAATTACTGGGGGAAAGGAGAGAAGCAGCACTTACTGTGGCCCAAGCAGGAGATGATAGGACTTATATCAGGATGGTAGCAAAGAAGCAGACAAAGTTAAGACATATTGTGGAGATAAACCAAATAGATTTGCTGGTGGCTTGGGTGTGTGCTCAACCTAAAGACAACAGAGCAACATATATACCATTTCTAACTTGTGTAGGCTTTACCATTTACAAAGCATGTGAACACATACTCTCATTTAATACTTACAATTCTGTATGGTGAGTACTACTTCTCCTAGTTTTCAGATGAAAAAACTGAAGAGGTCAAGGTGAGATGGCTGGCCAAGGTCAACATTCCAAAATATATAATTTAGATGAGAAATATGGGAAGCCAAAAAGAGAAAGATAATTGTAGGTTCAAGTACTCCTGAGAAAGAAGAGGCTTCTAGACCGGAGAATGTGGGCAAAGTGGGTGACGTAGGCTGGGGAGACAGATCTGGAAGTCCAAAGCGAGTAAAGGGCTCAGCTTTCAAGGGAAGAGTTCACTCTAAATGGAGCAAAGAATGAACGACTGGCAGGAAGCAAATCCGGTTTCTGCTCAATATTCTATTAGGTATTTATGTATTTATCTGCTCTTCTTAAAACTACTTGACACTTTAAGTGTATTCATCTTCTCTCCTGCATCGATTGTTCTTTCATGATTTTCTAGCTGTTATATTTATCCTAGCGCAAATGTTTACCAATGTGTGTCTGCCTACCAGATTCCCTGAAGACAAGAAATGTCCTCTCTCATCTTTTATTCCTCATACCTGACAAATAGAAGGCATCCCATACCTATTCATTAAAACAGTATCCTACTGCAATAACTACGTTCACTTTTCAGAGTTCTGCTTTAGTTCAAGGTCTCGGTTTTGTAGACAAGAACCCAGCATTAAGCCGACTCTGGCCGGGCGGGATCTGCAACGCTACTACCTGAGCCAACCGTGGGCGTCCCCCACACGCCCCCCCCCCCCCCCCCCCCCCGCCCCAGCCCTGGGTCCCTGCCCGCCAGGCCTTGGCACCACGGAAGGCAGCTCCGAAGAGACCCGCCTTCCCCAGAGTCAGTGCGGCCTCCGCAGCAGCCCGAAACTCCACCATAGCCCAGCCCGGAGCCCCGACCACCGCCATTCTTATGGGCCCAACCCGGGTCTCACCCAAGTACCGCACCCGTGCCCACGCCAGCCTCCCCAGTGCCCTCTGCAGACCGGAAGTGGGCCACGGCTGCTGTCAGACAGGTGCGTGAGGAAAGGGCCCCTTCCGTTTCCTCTCTAGGACTCTCGGAGGTCGGAGCATCTCGATGGCTGCTCATCCTCTTAGGCTGTTCCAAGTGCGCAAGGGGCTCTGTCCCGAGCTAACTGCATTCCTCGAAGCTCTGGGTCGCGGGTCCCTTTGCTCCTCCATGCTTTTGCACCTGCTTTCCCTCTGTGGTATGGACTCTCCAGACATACACGGGACACAGCGCCTCCCTTTTAGGGGGTTTCAATCCAGTAGGTCAACACATATTTATTCCTTGTGCCCCGCTGCTTATTGCCATGCGTAGGGACTGAGAATGTCGGAGGAAGGAACTTAATATACGTTTACATAAGAGAGGCTCGACTGCAGTAGTTGGGGGAGGGTAATCAGGGAAGTCTTACTGGAGGAGTCGGCACCTGCGCCGGGATTTCAAAAGTGGACCAAAAAATGAGGTAAGAGTGTCCCCAGCAGGGGTAGCACCATGAGCCCACCAAGTGGGGAGGAATTAACGGCATTTCTGAAACATCAGAGCTACTGGAGCAGACGGTTAAAATAACTATTTCGGAAGATAACCTGAAGGCACTAGGAAGCCATGGAAAGGTTTAATGGTGGAAAGGAACCAATTTTAGAAAGATTCTGCGGAGAAACTACAAAAGACAGAACAGAGGAGACAGAGGTCCAAAGCCCTCAGAACAAAGGGCCTGGGGCTTTGGGGCTGCCTTTGCTTTTCCCTGACCTTATCTTGCTTTGCCCTAAACCTATGCCTTTCTCTCCCATCTGAGCAATGTCCATTCTCTTCCAAGAAAACGTATCACCAATAAATTGCTTGCATAATTCTTTACTGTGTCAGCAAGAAGAACCAGGTTTCTCTCACAACACCGTGATCAGCTTGACTGGACTGAGCATCATCTGGCAAAGCAAAAGGTTGCCAATTAGATAACGGTCAGGGCACATTCCTGGGTTGTAGCAGTCCCCTGTTGGGGTGTGCGCACAACAGGCAACTGATCTATGTTTCTCTCACACGTCAATGTTTCTCTTTCTCTTCCTCCCTCCCTTCCCCTCTCTCTAAAAATAAATGAATAAAATATTTTACCCTGGTTGGTGTGGCTCAGTGGATGAGCACCAGCCTGTAAAGTGAAGGGTTGCTTGCTCGATTCCCGGTTAGGGCACATGCCTGGGTTGCGGGCCAGGTCCCCAGCAGGGGGTGTGCGAGAGGTGACCAAAGTTTCTGTCGCACATCAATGTTTCTCTCCATCTTTTTCTCCCTCCCTTCCCCCGATGAACAAAATCTTTAAAAGTATATAAATAAATAAAATCATTTTAAAAAATTAAAAGCAGACAACTGATTGTTCATCTGGAAAAAGATAACACTGGGTCCCTACCTTATACCATGTGTCAGAGTCAAGTCCAGCTGGTCTCACAGGGTATCAGATTCTTTTGCATTATAAACTACAACAACAATCCTACATGGAAGTAGTATCAGCCTCCAAAAGGGATGAGACTGGAATATATCCAAGGCCCAAGAGAAATTTCCTGATTGAAATTTCAATCTGGGGAAAATGAACTATACCTAGCGATATAAAAAACATTCTTCAGTTTGCTATGGAGAAGAGACAGCAAAAAGGACATTCTGAGAGGCAGGGGATTGAATCAGATCACAGGTGTCCAGGTCAATTGTGGAGAGGAGAAAGGGGCTCCTCTGAATCAGAGAGAAAAGAATCAAAGGTGGGTGATGATCTAGGTCAGGGCTCAGCAACTTTTTCTATGAAGGGTCGGGTAATAACTGTTCCAGGTTTTGTGAGACATAGTCTGTTGAATAGTCTTCATTTTCACAGTCCTTCAAAGATGTAAAAACATTTTTAGCTCACAGCCAGGGCTGGATTTGACACGATGGATGTAGTTTGTTGACTCTTGAAATACATTATTTTTAAATTGTTCTAGAGGTATGTAAGTTCATTCTTGGCCTCTTTTCTCAGTGATATTATCTGCTGAGAGTGCAAAGGACAATGGTAAGCTTGGAGCTTAAATAATGGAGCAATAGTTGAAATATCTGTTGTGAGGAATGATGTAGGAAAAAATGTAGGGTGAATAGAAAGATTGTGAAACAATACTAAACACCCAAGTGAAATTCAAAACAAAACAAGTGATAGAATCAATCTACACAATTGCTTGTGCAATCTGGGGGCAGATCTTCAGGAAACGAACAGATTAATCCAATATTGGGATTTGTCACAATGACTACAAAAATGCCAAATGGAAGGAAAGGAGGGCTCTGAGGGTAGGTTGTAGGAAGTGACTGTGGAATCCAAGCTAAGCAGAGAGGAGTGTTGGAAACCAATAAGAAAGACAAAGAGAAGCTAAGGAGTCAGAGGTTAGGATGAGGCCATGATGCAGGTTTCATCAATTTTTCAAGAAATGTTATAGGCAAACTAACTGTAAAATACATATCTTTCCTGTTTTCCACAAGCAGAAATTTTGCTATATTCTGTCTGCACTTTGCTTTTTACTCAGTAAACATATCTTTCCAAATCTACACATATTGATCTACCTCATTAATATTTTGTTGCATGTATTCCCCATGACTTATGAAGCTTATTGGTGGACATTTAGGTTGTTTCCAACTTCAGGATTTGCCACATATCTGGGATGAACATTATTATATATAATTCCTTGTGTACTTTTTGTAAATAAATCTAAAGGATGAATTCCTGTACATGGAATTGCTGGGTTTAAAAGTTATGTGCATTTTGAATTTTGTCAGCTATTGTTGCCAAATTATCCTGCAGAGTTCAGATTTCCACTCCCCAAAACACTTGGGGATAATGTTCATTTCCCCACAATCTCATCAACATTGGGTGTTACTAAACTTTCCATCTTTGCCAATCTGGTAAGTGAAATGTACCCCAATTTTTATTTGTATTTTTTAATTTATATTTCTTATTTATGAGTGAAGTCGATCATTATTCCTAGCTTCGTTAGTTACTTGTAATTCTTTTGCTTGAACTGGTTATTTTTATCCTTTCCTCTGTTTCTGTTGGATTATGTATCTCTTATTGATATGAAGGGTTTTTGTACGTTAAAGGAATTAGCCCTTTTTCAAATGTTTTGAAAATACAGTGATCCCTCACCTATTGTGGAAGTTACATTCCAGAGACACCCGAGATAGGTGAAAATCCACAAAGTAGCAGTGTTATATTATTTATATATATTTTAAGGCTTTATAAACCCCTCCCACATTCCTATAAACCTTTCCCACTCTCTTATTAACCTGTCCCACACTCTTATAAACACTTCATATGCTCTTAAACACTTTCTACACTCTTAAACCTATGTAATTTTAACAACATATAAAGTTCTACATGGGTACTCATCAGTGAAGTATACTACAGCTTGAATGATGAAGATCATGAATTATGTAGCTGTGCAGTACTGATGGCGATGAAGGTGATGATGATGAGATGAATGTCCTGCACAGCCAAGAAGAACATGACAGCTCTTCTGAAGGCACCACTTCATCAGGCACTTCATCAGGTGGTGCAGTATCTTCACCCTGGGCTGTAACTTCTATTTCCACTAAAGGCGTAGGCATAACTGATCTCTTAGTCCCAGTGATGAACATAGTTCTGGGAAGTTGCTGGAGCTGCTTTTTATCCACAGAGGCAGCTTCTCCATGCAGAGAAATGCTGAGTCCAAAGCATCTCTGAAATTTGTCAAACCAGCCCTTGCTGACACTGAATGGGGTTGGTCTGGTGGGAAGAGCACTCAATGGTCCTGCTTCTGCATCGTCATCCTCATCTTCATCCTCATCACCATCATAAACGTCCGTGCTTTCCGCAAAACTATAATAAAGGTTCTTGGCCTTCATCCAGATGGTGTTGGTATCCAATGAGATATTCTTCTTCCTGCAGTCATTTACCCATAGGGCCAATGCAGACTCCATCCTCACAATGCCCTTATTGCAGGAAGTGAATGCCCTCTTTGCAGTCTTGTTAAAAGTCACTGTTGCCGTAGACCTAATATTCTTCTTGTCTTTCTTTATGTAGCGAACAGTAGACTGGTTGATCCTGTAATGGCGGCCTACGGCAGCATAGCTTTTGCCTTCCTTTAACATGTCCAGAAGTTCCACCTTTTCTTTGATGGTAAGCATATTCCTCTGGCACTTGGGTTCATTTGGGTAGCATCATAGGGCTTGAAATAAATTCAAACTTTTATGAAAATTTCACAAAAACACAATAATGCAGAGCAACACTACACACAGCGATTAGACATTGATGTGAAGTGGACAAGGAGAGATGCTGAACATAGGGGCACAGTGTAGGAGAGCAAACAGACCAATGCCACGGTCACTGAGCCAATCAGCACCCAGGATACAGAACACAGTGCTGTGGTTGGTCGCCTTCCATTCCATCAGCCAATAGTGTGCCATGTACAATCTCACATTGGCAAACTTGAGCAAGTGGTAGTGACATACTGCATTTCCATGTGTACAGTACGGTATTCATCTGCTGATGAAATACATACTGTATTTTATTTCGATTTAGTATTCTTTTAATATGTTTGAGTTAACATTTTTTATATTGCTTTAAAATTTTTAGGCAAAAATAATTAAAATCATAAATATTATATAAATACCTATATACTGCAAAATCCTGTGATATAGTGAAAACTCTGTGATACAGAATTATAGTTTTTTAAAAACCCGTGATACAGTGAAGCTGCAATAAGTGAACCTCGATATAGCAAGGGATGATTGTATTTTGCTATTTGTCTTTTGCCTTTCTTAATGAAATTCCATGCACTGCAAGATTGTTTTATGGATTCAAATTCATCTTACCTTTCTTAAAAAATATTTTGTTTTGTACCTTCTGTACTCCAAGATGATTTTTAAAATCCCCCGTATGCCCTTCCAATATACTTATGGTTTTATCTTCTTTCTTTCTGAAATGCATCTAGTCAAAGAAAAACAATAGAAATCCAGCCTCCCCTGGGCCCCTTTTTTCAAATGGCTAGCAAGCTTTCCTCAACACTACTGAAGGATCTATTTTTCCTTATTGATTTAAAAGACCAATTTTATCAACCATTATATTTCTGTGTAAAGTTGCCTTTATGTTTGGACTCATTCTATTCTGTAATCTGTCTGTATCCTGTGTCAAGACCTGACAGATTGTTTTAATTTCTGCAGTTGTATAATATCATTTATATTTGGAACAGCTTTTCTATATCACTGGTTCTTCTTTCCCATGGTTTAAAGAGATTTTTGAAGAAAATTTAAAAATACTTGCCTGAAAACTGCAAAGGAAACCAGACACATTCCAACCTCATGCTCCCGGCCTGGAGAGATCAGACTATAACCAAGGGAAATGGCATTGTCCGAAAGAAAACATTTCAGGAAAGGTAAGCATATGAAACCTTTTTTTTCTAGCAAAGAACAAGGTACTGAATGTACTGAGAGCATTGTGAGGGACTGAGAAGAAAGAAGGGGGAAGGGAAGAAGGAAAAGAGAAAGGGACAGAGGGGTAGACAGAGAGAAAAAAAAATCTTAACAAAAGAAATGAGATGAGAGTATTGGATGAAACACAGGAAGGAGAGGGGAGGAGAGAGGCTGTCGTTACCATGGAGAAGAAATAGAAGAGGCAGCAGAATTTACTTAAAACTTTCAAACACCTGTTCTGAACATCAGCAGGCCCGGGGTGTCAGGCTTGGCATTGGAGTAAATACTTCACCTCATTGGTTCTTTATTAACAATAAGGGTAGAATTATATCTGGCCTGTCTTTAACAGGACAAAGTAAAATGGCAGATGTGAAAGTTGTTTTAGCATTAATTACAGAAATAAAGGTTATAGGAGTTCAAAATGCTGATATGGACAGTTTTGGATATTTGACTTATATTACCCAACTTAGCCTTTAGGATTTAATATAAAGTCTTGAATAGGTATATTTACGTGATTCAAGAGTCAAAACCATATAAAAAGTTACACACACAGTATTGCTCATACCTCTACCCACTCCATGCATGCTATTCCATAATCTACCCCCATTTCTAAAGACTGATTAGTTTTTTTGTATGGCCTTTGAGTGTTTATTTATTTGCAAATACTAACATTCATACATTTTCCCTATCTTCTCTCCTTCTCTCACACAAAAAGGACATACACTAGATACCGTGCTTCTTACCATGTAATATGTCCTAGAAAATATTCCACATCAGTGCAGAGACCTTTCTCCTTTTTCTTAAAGCTGATGTAGACATAAGTATTTAAAATATCCCCCTACTGATGGACATTTGAGTTGCTTCTAATCACTTATTACAAATTGCTGCAGCAATTAATTACTTGTACCTATGTCACATTAAAATTTGTATACAGGCATATTGGTTGTATAAATTCTTAAATAGAGAATGTTAGAGCATCAATGCTAACAGTGTTGTAGACATTGCCAGATTCTCAATACAGGTTGTATACCATTTTGCACTTCCATCCACATGTAACAGTGCCTGTTTCCCCACAGCTTAGCCAACCAAATGTGTTGCATTCTTTTGCCTTTTGCAAATCTCATAGAAATAGCTTTTCAGTGTAGTTGTCTCCATTTTTTGAAAATTCTGCATTTCTTTTCTTTTTAACATATTATTTAATATTTTAAAGTTTGTGTTTGCTAACCCCAATCCTGGGATCACTGCATCTGCTTCTATTGGTTATTTTTTCTCTTGTTGGTCACATTTTTGCACGTCTATTAATTTTGCATTGTATGCCAGTGTTTGTGCATAATGGAAGAGGCTCCAGGCCTCCCATGATGGGGCAGTGCTTTGTTCCAGAGTATCTATTCCATTAAAAGAAAAAAAAAGCACTGCCCATCATGGAAAGGGTTGACCATTTTGTATCAATTTTCCCAAGTAAACATTACTCCTTTTAAACAGAAAGGAACTTTATTTCAGTTTTTTTTTAATTTTAGTTTTAAATATTGATTCTGTCCCTTTATTTCAGTTTTCTTCCTCAGGGACTCCAATTTTACATATGTTGGATCTTCTTTACCTATTATATCTTTCTCTTTCTCTCAAATCCTTTATTTTATTTTCTTCACTTTTACTATTCTTAATACTTTACGTCTCTTACTGTTCTGGTATCTAATTCTCCTTGGTGACAATTGTAATGTGGTCTTCATTTCTGACTCTTTCCAATTCTTTCTCTTTTTTAAAAATGTTTTTCTTAATACTCATCAGAGGACATGCATATTGGTTTGAGAGAGGAAGAGAGAGAGTGTGTGAGAGAAACATCATTGTGAGAGAGAAACACTGCTAGGTTGCCTCCTGTGTGTGCCCCAACTAGGGATCAAACCCATAAACTAGGTATGTGTCCAGACCAGGGATTGAACCCACAACTTTTTGGTGTATGGAACAACACTCCAACGAACTGAGCCACCTGACTGGGGCTCCAGTTCTTTCTTGAATTCTATCAGTTCCTATTTCATATCCTTGTTATATGGCTCTCACCTTCTGTTGTGGGAACAGTTCTTCTCTAAGTTCCTATAATTCTGAGTTGCAGGCTTTTTTTCCCTAGCTGCAACTGCTTCATTGAGTGTTTAATTTGTCTTGGAATGTTGAATTTAATTTTCCTCTGTTTTGTGACGCTTTTCAGTTGAAGTTTTTTCATGTTTAGACTTTTGCTTCTCTATCTGCGTTTTCCTATAATATCTTTATATTGATACTGGTGTTTTATTCTTTTATTCAAATGCGTTTGATTTTTCTGGACCAGCTATTTGCAGATGGATGTTGTGGAAAGGGAGTTAGGTAAGCATAACATTTCCAGTCTCAGTGCAAGGGCTTTTTCTTCCATTGCTACATTGAGGGACACTTTCTTTAATATAATAGTGCCCATGTAGCCAGGATTCCCCTGATTCTTATAACAGCTCAAAAGAACTTATACTACCATTCACTTCCTTCCTTCTATTCTTCATCTGTCATTGCTATGAAAAGATACTGTCACCTGCCTTCCAAGGTGGGCTCTCTTTTGCAAGTGGTGCTTTTTAAATCTTTCCCTTTATGGACTCCCATGCACTTTCCATGCCTTCTGTCTCCTCAATACACATGCCCCATATTTCTCCTCTATCCTATTCATAGCCATTCCCTCTCAAAGTGAGTCCTTCTCAGACATCTGAAGGTTAATATTGGCTAATAACTTTTGGAAAATGCCACCACTACAATGCTTATATATTTATGGACCCACTCCAATGTGCCCACCATACCACTCTTCCAGTTGTGGCTTCCCATATTAGTTCTGCTGGTTTAGGTTGGTTTGGGCCACAGTTATATATCTTAGTTTGTAGATTTTCTCTAATCCTAGTTTCACTGATAATAATAATTCCCATGTGGATTTTTTTAGGAGGAAAAGTGAGACAACTGGAACTAAACTGTCACCATATCCCTATGAGAAATTCCCAAGATACCTTTTGGAGAGAAATGTAAGAAACTAAAAAAATATACAATTAAAATACTTAGTGGCTGTTTTTCAGGTATGTCTTAGCTCTTCTGCTTGATGTAAGCCTCTGGAGAACAGGAACTGGCTCTGATACCTCTGTGTACCGCCACAGTGTACTGCACAAGGTCAACCTGCCCTGAACACTCCTTAACAGTCCCAACAGAGCCCACTTGACTCTACCCATGCTCGTCACATTTCCCCTCCAGAAGGACAGACAGGACTCCCTGGACTTGTTTTTGAATTTACACTACTTAAGTTCTAGGAGCTTTTTCCACTTATGTCTTCTTTAGAGAGAGACATGGGGAGGCATTGTTACTTGGTGTTGTTGACATGAAGGGGCTTGGATCACTCTTCCAGCCTCCCCATTGCCCCAGAGAATTTGTACTTCCCAGTGACCCTCATCCTAGCTGGGAGGCTGAGTGCTCCCCAGTCTTCACGCATCATCAGGAGTGCGAACGGGGCACACTGGAGGTGCAGTCAGGAGACTTTTGACTCTAGTGGAAGGATGGAATGCCAATATATTGATGGCTAACTTGCCTTATGCTTTCCACAGAGCAAAGACTCATTAGGCTCAGGCTTCCAGACCTGGGAACTCAATCTTGTAGGTGTTTTCACCTTTAACCACTTCTACCCCTTCCTCTCAATACACACTCAAGAAAAGTTTCCAGTTTGGCTGGGGTAGGGGGAGTGGTGGGGGGAAAATGCAGACAACTGTAGCCGAACAACAATAAAATAGTTTAAATAAATAAATAAACAAATAAATAAATAAATAGGTTTTCAGTACCAAGTCACACTTTTGTATAGGGATATCATCTTTTCTTTTAATATTACTAACACAACACCTTCTGTTGTGGTTACATTCTGTTCAGTTTTTGTCTTATGAAGGTTCACTTCACTTGATCATTTTTTAATATTCCTCCCTCCCCTCCTGCCCTCCAGCCAGGTTTTTGAGGAATGGATTAACAGGGAGTAGTCCTTCTTTTATTGAAAACACCTGCAAAAAAAGAGAAGGAAGGGAGGGAGGGAAAAAAGAGAAAGGGAAATCACTCAGGAAGTTCAGAATTCAAAAAATATAAACTAATTTCAAATATGAAAAAATTCAAATGTGAACAAAATAGATCACTATATAAGGAAGTGGAGCATTAATTTGACACTCGAGAAGCTTATTAAAAGTAGTGAAGATTGGCAGAGGACGGGGAGCCACTCACACAGCTTGATGAAGGGTAGAGGACAGACTCTCCTGAACTAGATAACTGTCTCTTCCTTCAGCAGGGTCTCCTTTTGTACTGAGCTCGGTACTCCTCCCAAACTCTCCAGATTCTCTAGATGCGGGATCTCTTCAGTCTCCTCAGTATTCTGGGAAATGGGTAATAAATGGCACCTAAGGCAGGCTGTTTCTTGAAAGAGGCAGATGGCACCTAGGTAACAGCAAAAGTTTGACTCAGGTTAGAGAGAGTGTCATGCTTCATGTCCTAGAGGTCAGGAACTCCCTCCACTAATACAACTCCTGGTCTGTACCTGCCCTCCCTTACACTCCCCTCCAACAAAGGGTTCTATAGAGACAGAGGAGAAACAACGCACCAGAAGACAAGGTATACAAACAGATGGATACACTCATAAAACCACAGCCAGTGCTGGAATTAGCAATTGTCTAACCATTAACAAGTGAAAAAACGAGGTTTAAGAGAGGAAGGTCAAACACAAAACTCAGGCCTTTTGAAGCCCAACTCAAGACCCTTAGAAAAGAAAGGAAAAAGAGAATTGATGTTCATGAGAATAAATGAAGATACCTTAACAGACTGGTAAATACTGTATTACTGTTAACACTAAGATAAAGGACAACTTCTATTTTCAGCATTATAGCAGACTAGGTAATCTCCCACTAAAAAACAACAAAAATTTCTAAATAAATATTTCTTCAAAAATGTATTTGTAAATGCACCATCAGGCTGGCATCAGAGTAAAATATTCCTAGAATTCAAAACCACAATGAAAACAGGAGTCAGAGTTAAGCAAGCACACAATTAGCTTTTACCTTAGAGAGGCACAGGCAACCCGGGTGATTCTGATTTTCCATTCTCTTGGCCATCTGGGGCACAAAAAAACAGCAGAAAAAGCCCACGACATGCTCCAGAGGAAAATCTAATAAAAGTCCTCCATATAAAACTGGAACTTCAAAGTTACTTGTGTTTACTAAGAATTCATAAACATAAGCTAGCTATTAGTGTGTCTGCAGCTAAATTCATAATACCTATGTATTTCGTTTGTCATGCTAAGCTAGCTGTGTACCCATGCACCAGGCAGAAGCAAATGCAAATCCTTTCTTGAGTAAACACTTTAAACATAGGCCTCAAAGAATTTCTACCAAAAATAAAAAAATTCCAAGGAAAACTAATTCACTGTCAAAAACATAAAACGTACCAAGAAATAAGACATCACAACTAAGAGCCTGCATGAACAGCAACTAATAGACTCAGACCTGCAAATAATTTAATACTAAACTTGTAAGACACAAAATGTAAAGTAAGTCCATTTAGCATGTATAATGAAAATATATTTCGAGAATAACTTTAAAATATTAAGAACAAGAGACTACAAAAATACAACACTTAGGGGGAAATACAACTTCTGGTTATGAAAATAGATTAATTGAAATAAAAATTTAATGAATAGGTTAAATAGCAGCTAAAAAGTAAATGAGTGAAACTGAAGATACCTCTATATATGTTATTCAGAATGCAGCCCAGAAACACAAAGAGAATTAAAACATGAAAAAGAAATAAAAAGACATGCACAATAGAGTAACAAGGTCTAACAGAAGTCTTCCTAGAGTTCCACAAAGTAAAAAAAAAAAAATGAGAAGATTAAAATGTTCTAGAAATACTGAAAGCTACTACTCCTCAGATTTAGTTCACTTACAAATAGTAACATAAATACCCATATCCTGAAAAGTACCAAAGTCTAAGAGAAAAGAAAAAGAGTGCCTTAAAAAAGAATATTTTTATAGAGACCAAACTTCTCAACAATGGAAATGGGAAAATAATATTTTGAATGCTCAGAGAATAACTATCAACTCAAAAATGTTTGTTTGGCAAAACTAACTTTAATGAACAAATTCTATACAAACAAAATGAGTGTATTGCTAATTGACTATCATATAAAAGCACTATAAAGAATACATTTCAAGCAGAAGGATAATGATCATAGAAGATCTAAGAAGGTTGTATGAGGAATTAAATTAGTAAATATGTGGATATGTGGGTTAATTTAAACAAATATTAAATGCATAAAATAATGCAAAATGTATAGATTAAAAAATAAAACATTGGACAAAATGGCATATAAATTGAGAGTGGGGAGTCCTCGCATTATTTATGAAGAGAATAAATATGTTGATTATTTTTCACCTTTGTTGTATAAGCATTTTAAAATGTCAAAGGTAACTACTACATGAATAAAAATAGAACATATAACTTCCAAACTAAAGAGGGGAGAAATGTAATGAGAACTGTATACATAAAATTCAATCAGTCCAAAGCAAGGCAAAAGAGTTGGGGTAGGAGGTGAGCAGAAAAGAACTGAAAGTACAAATTAAAGTGATAGAAAAAAAATATATATATATATATATCAGTCGTCACAATAAATGTAAATCACTAAATGCTCCAGTTAAAAGAAAAAGATTATAAGACCAGATTAAAAAATTCAGTTATAAGCTATTTATAAGAGATATCCAAAACATGAAGACAGAAAGTTTTTAAGTAAAAGATTTAAAAAATATAACAGGTAAATAGTAACCTAAAGAATATAGAAGTAGGGCCAAGATGGAGGTGTAGGTAGACACACTGTGCCTCCACGCACAACAAAAATAAGGACAACAACAATTTAAAAACAACAACAACCAGTACTGACAGAAAATTGAACTGAATGGAAGTCTGACAACCAAGGAGTTAAAGTAGACACATTCATCCAGACTGATAGAAGGGGCAGAGTCGGGCCCAGCCAGGCAGCTGAAACCAAGAGGGCTCATGGCTCTCAGCAAAGCGGCAGCTGGCAGACCCAGCGAGGCAGCGGATTGTGGAGAGACATGGTATGCAAGGCGGCTGCGGACTGAGCAGTCCCACATTCATGCACAGATAAACCAGGCAAAAATGGGAAGCAAGACAGACCACGCAACCCAGGGTCCCAGCACAGGGAAATAAAGCCTCAAGCCACCAATTGAAAACACCTGTAGGGTTTTAGGTGCCAGGAGAGACTCCCAGCCTCACAGGAGAGTTTGTTGGAGAGACTCACAGGGTCCCAGAACGTACACAACTCCACCCACATGGAAATCAGCACCAGAAGGACCTAATTTGCTTGTGGGAAGCAAGGGAATTAACTGAAATCTAGCAGAAAGCAGAGCAAGTGCCATTGTTCCCTCTCAGACCCCTCCTCCACATACAGTGTCACAACCCAGTGATGTGTGTTACCCCACCCTGGTGAACACCTAAGGCTCTGCCCTCATACATAACAGTAGTTTCAAGACAAAAATATGGCCCAAACAAAAGAACGGATCAAAACTCCAGAAAAAATACAACTAAGCAACAAAGAAGTAGCCAAACTATCAGATGCACAGTTCAAAACACTGGTTATCAGGATGCTCAAAGAATTGGTTGAATTTGGCCACAAATTAGATGAAAAAATGAAGGCTATAAAAAGTGAAATAAAGGAAAATGTACAGGGAGCCAAAAGTGATGGGAAGGAAACTGAAACTCAAATCAACTGTGTGGACCAGAAGGAAGAAACATCCAACCAGAAAAGAATGAAGACAAAAAAATTTCAGAAAAAATTCAGAGAGGCTTAGGAACCTCCAGGATAACTTCAAATGTTCCAACATCCGAATTATAGGGGTACCAGAAGGAGAAGAGGAAGAGCAACAAGTGGAAAAGTTATTTGAACAAATAATAAAGGAGAACTTCCCCAATCTGGCAAAGGAAATAGACTTCCAGGAAGTCCAGGAAGCTCAGAGAGTCCCAAAGAAGTTGGACCCAAGGAGGAACACACCAAGGCACATCATAATTGCATTACCCAAGATTAAAGATAAGGAGAGAATCTTAAAAGCAGAAAGAGAAAAGAAGACAGTTACCTACAAAGGAGTGCCCAGAAGTCTATCAGCTGATTTCTCAAAAGAGACCTTACAGGCAAGAAGGGGCTGGAAAGAAGTATTCTAACTTATGAAAGGCAAGGACATACACCCAAGATTACTCTATCCAGCAAAGCTTTCATGGAGAATGGAAGGGCAGATAAAGTGCTTCTCAGATAAGGTCAAGTTAAAGGAGTTCATCATCACCAAGTCCTTGTTGTATGAAATGTTAAAGGGACTTATCTAAGAAAAAGAAGATAAAAAACATGTATAGTAAAATGACAGCAAACTCACAATTATTAACAACCACACCTAAAACAAAAACAAACTAAGCAAACTAGAACAGGAACAGAACCACAGAAATGGAGATCACATGGAGGATTAGCAACAGGGGAGTGGGAGGAGGAGAGAGGGGGAAAAGGTACAGAGAATAAGTAGCATAGATGGTAGGTAGAAAATAGACAGGGGGAGGGTAAGAATAGTATGGGAAATATCGAAGCCAAAGAACTTGTAAGTATGACACATGGACATCAACTAAAGAGGGGAAATGTAGGGGGGAGAGGGTATGCAGGGTGGAGGGGAATGAAGGGGGGAAATGGGACAACTGTAATAGCATAATCAATAAAATATATATATATATTTTTAAAGATTTTATTTATTTATTTTTAGGGAGGGAAGGAAGGGGGGGAGAGAGAGAGAGAGAGAGAGGGAGAGAGGGAGAGAGGGAGAGAGGGAGAGAGGGAGAGAGGGAGAGAGAGAAACATCAATGTGTGGTTGCTGGGGGTTATGGCCTGCAACCCAGGAATGTACCCTGGCTGGGAATTGAACCGGGGACACTTTGGTTCCCAGCCCGCGGTCAATCCACTGAGCTACGCCAGCCAGGGAGCCAATAAAATATATTTTTTAAAAAGAATGTGGAAGTACCTATAGTAATATTAGATAACAGACTTTAGCACAAAAGCATTGCTAGAAATAAAAAGGATAATGATAAAAGTTTAATTCCCTAGTAAAATATAACAATTCTAAATCAAGATTTAAACAACATAATAAACAAGCTTGATCTAATCTTTATAGATAAGATTACACTCAACATGAAACAGGAAAACAGACCTCAAACTAGGCTATAAGGCAATTCTCAGTGAATCTGAACATATTAGGATTATATAGACCATGACCTCTTGTCAAATTGAAATGAAGTTAAAATGATAAACACAGATGCCATGACTCAATGGACTGCGTGCCAGCCTATGAACCAGGGGGTGGCTGGTTTGATTCCCAGTCTAGGGCACATGCCTGGGG